ATTTTTTCATTAATTTCTTTATTTAATATATTTTTTGATTTTAAAAAAAAAATTAAAATATGGGGCGCTATGGGCTATAGCGACTTCATTCAAGCTGTAGGTGTCGCTATGGGCTGCAACAACTTCGTCAATATGGCCTTCATGGCTTATCTGGAGTTACAAAAAGGCCACGTGGCATGGGTGTCGCTATGGCCCATAACGACACCGTTGTAAACAGTCCCAAAGGCGTAAATACTTTCTAAAAAGTCTCATTTACGTAAATAAGTTGGTCAACGACCCCACTTTGGTCAAAAAACCAGTAAATTAACATGATAATTCCATTTTAAGGGTGCTAACCCATGACCACGAGGATAAAACAAAAAAGAATTAGAATGTGTAGAGGAACTTGAAGAACCTCACCACCCTCAACTTATAATTAAAATTGGATTTAAATATATTTTTAGTTATTTAAATATAAAATAAAATTATTTTTTATCTATCAAATTTAAAATTTTATATTTTTTGTATATAATTTGAAAAGAAAAAAAAACATTTTAATCTCTTATTGAAGTATTGTTAGTGAATTTGTCAAATATTACTTCACAAAATCTATCTATCTATCAATATTCTTGTTAATTAAAATATTACATTAAATTCAATTATGTCTCAATTTGTCACAATTAATTATATTATTAGTAGCTTGAAAAATTAAAATGAATTCTTTTGAAAAACTAAAAATATTAACTTTAAATTTGATTGGAAAAGAATAAATTTATTCTAAATTTAAGAAAATAAAAATATATTTAGATCTTAAAAAAATTTTAAGCATAGAAGAACACATGGTGGTTCTTAGTGTGATAAAATACCAAACTCTTTTTAAGTGAAGCAAATAGGTAAGAGTATAAGTTGCATAAATTATTATTGAACACAGAAATCACTGTATAACATAAAAATAAAATAAATAAGAATGTAATACGCCGTTGCCGGGGATCGAACCCGGGTCGTCCGCGTGACAGGCGGAAATACTCACCACTATACTACAACGACTTAGCTGATAGCTGTGGATATATAATTATATATAATAGTTGGATTGCATCAAGTATCCCCACATCACTGTTTTTAAGATTTTTACTGTTATTGATAATTTTGTTTCAAAATTATCTAAAATTGAAACTTAGCTCATTTTGACTATGCTATCTAATAACCTACCAACCAATATTATAATGAATGAGATAAATTAAGTTCATGAAATTATTCAGAAAAAAAAAAAAATAATAAGAGGAGAAGAAAAAATGAGGGTTGAGAATGGAGAAGAGTGGCATCGGAGGGAACCGCAGAGGGCAGCAACTGGAATTACCTCCACTTATTGAGAGCGTTGCTCTGACAAGGCAACGGGCCTGGAAACTTTTTCGCAGGTCAATTACACCCTCACGTGAGACCGGCTTGCTCTGTATGTTTCACACAGCACCGACCAAACACTTCGGGCACTCCCTTCAAGGCTGCTGCGACCACGTGGTTCCCGACCCCACCACATCTACACCCTTCCACACACTTTAATACTCCCACTTGGGTTACAGGCACGTGTTACCATGCCCAGTGCTCCTACTGCTCTTCTCATCGCCTTATAAACACTAGGCATGTTTTTCATACCAACGGTGTGGGACTTCCTTTTCTTACAGCGTACCGACGCAAAGCAAAACACCACGTGAAAAAAGTGCAATTCACAAATGTATGGATTCACAACGCAAGGAATCTTTGATCAACAACACTCTGCCTTTGCACTTGCAAGTTGCACCCAATTAAGTGCCTCTCTTCAGCCTAATGCCTGTAACATTAGATTATATCGCCCCTTTTTTTATATACTCCTTCTTTTGGAATCTCTTCACTCTATCTTTAATAAATTTATATTCTAATGACCAAGAAAAAAAACACTACTCCAGTTTGTTTGTCTAAATAAAACTGAATTTTTACTGCAACTCGACTGCTTTTAAGTTTTTATAATTCTAGTTTTTTAATATTAAATAAAACGTGTTTCAATAAGTTGTATTTAAATTAGTTTTTAATTACTAATATTGATTGACATAAGTGATAATAATTTGTATTTCTTGATCAAACTATTCAAGATTTTAATCCTTGTCTTGGACATGAAAAAAAATTATGTTAAGAGGAAAAATATCCCATTATATTATACGTGTTTATATTTTTGACAAAAATTAGTTATTAATATTTTGTATTTAAATTATGGTTACAAAAAAACAGTTGTTGATTTAATTTTGAAACCTTTTCAGGTATATGTACCCTCCATATTTCTTATTTACTGAATCAACCGAGTAAAAACTCTTTGCATTATTAATGATTAAACATGGAGGGTCACGTATCCTTCAACTCCTTATCTAATTGAGTAGGTCGAATTAAGGATCATTTACGGGTTTCTTATCGAATTGGTTTCCTAAGATTAATCAAGACAGTAATTCTCGTGATTCATGCATATATTTGATTACAGTTATAAATGTGATTTAAAGACTCATTGTGAAAAATAAAATCAAGGCATATTCAAGAGATTGAGATCGGAAAAAATTTTTATTCCTTAATATGACACTCATATATATATAAAAAGAATTATGAAATATAAGTTACACTCATCAAATATTGTTAGGTTTTCTTAGAATTCATATCACTAAAAATTTCTCGGTCGTTATCCCTTACTATAATAGTATAATTAAAAAATAAACAATAATAAATGTAGTTTTATATAAAAATGTGTGTAGTATTTTTAGATAGGTTAAGTATGTACTTAATAATATAGATAATTAAAAGTGGAAATATACTTTTTTTACACGAAGATTAAAAGATTTGAATTTAAATCACTTCATTTCAAACTATTTTATCTAAAATTATTTAAATTTGAGTTGATAAATATTCGGTCAAACACATATAAAGATAATTATTATTTCTTTGATGATTTTAAAAAATGTGTCCAATTTTAAAATATATTTTTTTTGAAATAAAATTTTGTTTATATTATTTTATCATCAAAATTATAATGACATTACCGGAATTCAAACTTATGATTATGTACATAATTTTACATATACTTTTTTTCCCTATGTTTTTTTTTCATATTTTCCCTTCAATTAAATAAAATATTTCAAATTTCAAAATTATTTCCTTTCCCATCCAAATTTCAAAATCTTTGCCTTAGACTTATTTGTGAATTCTATGGTTTCCTTTGCGACTTGTGAATTCTATGGTTTGTTTAACTCTAATGTTGCCTTCTATAGAAAATTCATTAATATAATATTCCCAGATTAAAAGTAATGTGAAGCAGACTTATTGGATTTTTTAAAACAAAATACAAAGAACAAAACGAATGCATTCGGCATAGAATAAATAAAAGAGATCTGTTAATTAGTACGAAACGAATACGTTGATAACGATATTTAGAATCAAGGTTGTCTCGAGAAATTATGGAGTTTAAGGTAAATTAAAAAATTGGATTTTATTTTAAAAAAAAATATATGATCTGTATAATATTTCAAAATTGATAATTAAATACTATTTTGAACGCGATTTTTAATTAGTAAAATTATTAATTAAAATTTGATAATCAAGTTATTTAAAAAATTTACTCTATAATTATTCATTGAAACATTTAAAAAAATCATTATTACAAATAATTCGACATTCATATTCATTAATCAGTAGAGTTTGATTCTTATTTTGAACATAGAATGATTACCAAAAGTAATGTCTTACTTATAGAGGTTAACCTAGTAAAAATGAGTTATACTTCTTTATAGTTTAATTTTTGTATTCATTTTAATATATAATTTTTGCTTTAATTTACGATAAATATATAAAAAAAAGTTCTACCACCTTTTAAATGAGTAAAAGTTTTGAAATAATTTACAATAATAATATTTATGCATATACATATTTTTAAGTTATTTAATTTTATTAATAAATTAATTATAAATAATAAAAT